AAGCACAGCTACTTGAGTACAGGTAGGTGAGTACACCGACAGGGGAGTCGAACCTGCACACCCCATGAGTATTTCAAACGCTTTACGAGGTGCAGTTCAAAGTCGAGGCCAAATGTGAACGTGTGGGTTCTCCGCTTATGGATCATTAAATGGTTACGATGGTGGGGGCTGGTAACGATTGTGTCTTGCGTCGGGGAGGCGGTTTGTGTAGCCAAGGGAGTAAGAGAAGGGATTTGTAAGAGGGGAAGGTGTGAGATGTGTAGAGGGGAGGAAGGGGGTATGGATGACGGGTATTGATGGTGTGTGGGGGAGTGGGGTGGGTTGGTGGTGGTGTGGGGATATGGTGGGGGAGGAGCGGTGTGGTGGTGGGGGAGGAGCGGTGTGGTGGTGGGACATGGTGGGGGAGGAGCGGTGTGGTGGTGGGGGACATGGTGGGGGAGGAGCGGTGTGGTGGCGTGGGACATGGTGGGGGAGGAGCGGTGTGGTGGTGGGGACAGGGTGGGGGAGGAGCGGTGTGGTGGTGGGGACATGGTGGGGGAGGAGCGGTGTGGTGGCGTGGGGACATGGTGGGGGAGGAGCGGTGTGGTGGTGGGACATGGTGGGGGAGGAGCGGTGTGGTGGCGTGGGGACATGGTGGGGGAGGAGCGGTGTGGTGGTGGGGACATGGTGGGGGAGGAGCGGTGTGGTGGTGGTGGTGGAGGCGTGGTAGACTTGCGAGTGTCAGTAGTGTCGGTGGTAGTCTAGGGTGAGGACGGAGGCGGTCTGGCACCAGAGGAACACACTCACACACACACCAGGTCAGACCAGGGTTGGTGGCTACCACGCACCCTATGAGGGCTCCAGCTTCCCCTCACTTGTCCTCCTCACACCGTCAACCCCTCCCCTCACATCTCACATCCTGAGGGGAAAAAACACTGGACTTATTGATACTTATTAACAGTTACCCTCTGGGAGTTAAACGGGAATCAAGTGGAGACTTTGACCACCAGCTGGGGGCGCCCCTTGACCTTACGTCAGGAGCGCTGACCCCTGTTCCAAGGGCACTGACCCTGTGCCCAGGAGCCCGGTACACTCACGCCCTGTAACAAGGTAAGTAAGGTCAACCCTCTTCGCTCACACCTCTTGCCACTTATATTGGAGAAATTTGGTGATGTGCATGGATATTGGCTCATACATATGTAAAACTTACATACATGGAATCATGCACTATACATGAATATTTTTTATGTATATCTACTCGAATATATATATATATATATATATATATATATATATATATATATATATATATATATATATATATATATATACATATACATATATATATATATATATATATATATATATATATATATATATATATATATATATATATATATATATAATATATATATATATATACATATATATATATATATATATATATATATATATATATATATACCGCGATATACCGTCCTGGGCTGCTAGGTGGATCTCACTAACAAGCAGGAGAACAGCCTCCATAAACCCTCCCCCCCCCCAAGATGAAGATGATCCCAGCAACACGATAAAAGTATGAAAAGTTGGTGTTCGCTCAATTTGTGCCGAAGTAAAACCCAGTTTGACTTGCGACAAGTTAGTCCGCTCGGAAAAAAAAAAATATCACAAAGTTGGAAATATTCACAACTGGCAGAGAACGAACCCGAACGGAATCACCTCATTTCATCCGCTCGTTAAACCAGCAACCATCACTCTCCCAGATCTGTGATTGGCTCCTGAGCTTCCCTGCTAGACATGCAAACGATCCAGGGAGTAGATCACAATTGGACTCAGATTCTAATTGCATCCATCACCAAAAAGTTTATCCGGGTGAAGCGAGATGGTCTTGCGAGGGTTGGGAGGGAACGTTGGAACGTCGTGGTCATTGTCAGGAAACTCGACATGGAAAATACGACCTCGAATATTTTTTTTTCTATTTTCGAAAGTCTAGTGAGGCTTGCCGGGGTGGGAGAGTATTTAATAGCGCAAGGGTCGCTGAACACCCTTGTGTAAGGGATCCACCAGTATAAGGGTCGCTGAACACCCTTGTGTAAGGGATCCGCCAGTATAAGGGTCGTTGGACACCCTTGTGTAAAGGATCCACCAATATAAGGGTCGCTGAACACCCTTGTGTTGGGGATCCGCCAGTATAAGGGTCGCTGGACACCCTTGTGTAAAGGATCCACCAGTATAAGGGTCACTTTACACTCTTGTGTTAGGGATCCGCCAGTATAAGGGTCACTTTACACCCTTGTGTTAGGGATCCACCAGTATAAGGGTCACTTTACACTCTTGTGTTAGGGATCCACCAGTATAAGGGTCACTTTACACCCTTGTGTTAGGGATCCACCAGTATAAGGGTCACTTTACACTCTTGTGTTAGGGATCCACCAGTATAAGGGTCACTTTACACCCTTGTGTTAGGGATCCACCAGTATAAGGGTCACTTTACACCCTTGTGTTAGGGATCCACCAGTATAAGGGTCGCTGGACACCCTTGTGTAAGGGATCCGCCAGTATAAGGGTCGCTGGACACCCTTGTGTAAGAATGGAGGTACATAGTCTCCCCAGCTCGGTGCATTCTTTTGATAATTACTTACCCTTGTGTGAGTTTGTCCTGCACCAGAGTCACACAATACATCTGGTGCGGGTGTTGGTGCGCATGTGGGTGTTGTGCGGGTGTTGGTGCGGGTGTTGGTGCGGGTGTTGTGTGGGTGTTGGTGCGGGTGTTGGTGCGCATGTGGGTGTTGTGTGGGTGTTGTGTGGGTGTTGGTGCGGGTGTTGGTGCGCATGTGGGTGTTGTGTGGGTGTTGGTGCGGGTGTTGTGTGGGTGTTGGTGCGGGTGCTGTGTGGGTGTTGGTGCGGGTGCTGTGTGGGTGTTGGTGCGGGTGCTGTGTGGGTGTTGGTGCGGGTGTTGTGTGGGTGTTGGTGCGGGTGTTGTGTGGGTGTTGGTGCGGGTGCTGTGTGGGTGTTGGTGCGGGTGCTGTGTGGGTGTTGGTGCGGGTGTTGTGTGGGTGTTGGTGCGGGTGCTGTGTGGGTGTTGGTGCGGGTGCTGTGTGGGTGTTGGTGCGGGTGTTGTGTGGGTGTTGGTGCGGGTGCTGTGTGGGTGTTGGTGCGGGTGTTGTATGGGTGTTGGTGCGGGTGCTGTGTGGGTGTTGGTGCGGGTGCTGTGTGGGTGTTGGTGCGGGTGCTGTGCGGGTGTTGGTGCGGGTGCTGTGTGGGTGTTGGTGCGGGTGCTGTGCGGGTGTTAGTGCGGGTGTTGGTGCGGGTGCTGTGTGGGGTGTTAGTGCGGGTGCTATGCGGGTGGTGTGCGGGTGTTAGTGCGGGTGCTGTGTGGGGTGTTAGTGCGGGTGCTGCGCGGGTGTTAGTGCGGGTGCTGTGCGGGTGTTAATGCGGGTGCTGCGCGGGTGTTAGTGCGGGTGCTGTCTACTCTACTTCCCGCTTCTCACAAGGTACACAACACAGCATGGAAGGGGACTCATATATTCTCCAGTTCTTCCTCCTCCTTTTCGTCAACCTTTTCCACCTCTATTTTCTTTCATTCCATCTTCATCCTCCTTCTCTTCCTCCACTTCTTCATCCTTCTTCTCTTCATCCTCCTCCTCCTATTGGTTTTCTTTTCTCATTTTTCTCAGTATTTTTCTTTCCTCTTGGTCACATCTCACCCATCTTCCTGATCGCAATAGTTAACGCCTTCCTTCTCGCCTCATTATCTCCTCTATCCTCATCAACGCCGTGTCCTTCCACACCATCATCAACTTCTTTTCTTCCTCTTTGCCATCGTCATCTCCTCTCCTTATCACCAGCATCACTTTTTATCACCTTCCTCATCGTCAGCATTATTGTTGATATACTAATGTTATCTTCTTTAACTTTTTTTTCGCTCCTTTTTTTCCTGGAACCGCAACAACCTCCTGTTTGGAACTCCAATAGTCTTCTTGTTCTTGGTACTCCAACTACCGCTACTACCTCCTTGTTCCTGGTACTCTAACTACCACAATTTTCTTCTTGTTCCAAGAGCTTCAGTTCTCTCCTTGTGCCTGGAACCTCAACTTTCTCCTTGTGCCTGGAACCTCAACTTTCTCCTTGTGCCTGGAAGCATCACTCTCTTTTTGTGCCTGGAACATCAACTTTCTCCTTGGGCCTGGAACCCCAACTTTCTCCTTGTGCCTGGAACCCCAACTTTCTCCTTGTGCCTGGAACCTCAACTTTCTCCTTGTGCCTGGAACCTCAACTTTCTCCTTGTGCCTGGAACCCCAACTTTCTCCTTGTGCCTGGAACCTCAACTTTCTCCTTGTGCCTGGAACCACAACTTTCTCCTTGTGCCTGGAACCTCAACTTTCTCCTTGTGCCTGGAACCCCAACTCTCTCTCTCCTTGTGCCTGGAACCCCAACTCTCTCTCCTTGTGCCTGGAACCCCAACTCTCTCTCCTTGTGCCTGGAACCCCAACTCTCACCTTGTGCCTGGAACCCCAACTCTCTCTCCTTGTGCCTGGAACCCCAACTCTCTCTCCTTGTGCCTGGAACCCCAACTCTCTCTCCTTGTGCCTGGAACCCCAACTCTCTCTCCTTGTGCCTGGAACCCAACTCTCTCCTTGTGCCTGGAACCCCAACTCTCTCTCCTTATGCCTGGAACCCCAACTCTCTCTCCTTGTGCCTGGAACCCCAACTCTCTCCTTGTACCTGGAACCCCAACTCTCTCCTTGTGCCTGGAACCCCAACTCTCTCCTTGTGCCTGGAACCCCAACTCTCTCCTTGTGCCTGGAAACCCCAACTCTCTCCTTGTGCCTGGAACCCCAACTCTCTCCTTGTGCCTGGAACCCCAACTCTCTCCTTGTACCTGGAACCCCAACTCTCTCCTTGTGCCTGGAACCCCAACTCTCTCCTTGTGCCTGGAACCCCAACTCTCTCCTTGTGCCTGGAACCCCAACTCTCTCCTTGTGCCTGGAAACCCCAATTCTCCATATCACTCTTGTCCATTTCCTGCAGATTTTATCGCAATTTCCAGCCTCGTCCATAAGGCTAATACTATTGTTTCCTCTGGTAGTGTAAGTGCCTTTTTGGTGCGCATTGCGACCCTGTAAGTGTAAAGTGGCTGTGTCATACTTTGCCACTTTGTAAGTGTAAAGTGTTTGTGGTACAAAAGTTTGGCATTTTGTAAGTGACTCTATGTTGCATACGGGGATATTGTCTGATGTAGTGTAAATAAAGTATATATTTAGGGAGAGAGAGAGAGAGAGAGAGAGAGAGAGAGAGAGAGAGAGAGAGAGAGAGCAGAATTGTTACATTGTCACCCACCAGTCTACCATCACCAATATACCACTCACCAATGCACCTGTCACCACCACTCAGCTATATCAGTCAACACTTTAATGGGAACTCGACTGCAGAAAGCAGACGGGAGAATATATCTGGCATTTGCCTCACTTCTTGCAGATTATATAATATGTTTAGGCTCTGAAGAGAGTTTCTCTTAACACAATGGCAAATCTTTTCCCCGTAAGTTGCAAAAAAGTTTATGAAATTTTCTTCGTGAATTAACAAGAGTGCAAACTTTCTACAAACTAAACAGGTAATACTTTCGAGGAAACTTTTTCGGAATATAATAACTTTTTTGTGGAAATAAGAACGTATTAACTTGGCAAGCATAGATGCCAACATTTTTCTCAATAACTCAAAGATATTTTTGTGATTTTTTTTGGCCTCAGAAAATTGTATGTACTTTGGTTATTCTTTGCATATTGCTTAAGCTTATTGGACAGGGGAAGAGGATGGTATTCATGGAGCGGGTTGTAGAATTTAAGTGTCTTTGAGAGAGACAAATCTGAGAGAATTGTTGTCATATCTTGGGGGAATCAAATGTCTTTTACGCAAGAAAAACCCAGAGAACACAGCAGAAACTTGGGCGTCACGCATAATTACTTCTAGAACAAACTTTGTAGATGTCTTGTACCACTTGGACGAGCACACGCGCACACACACACACACACACACGCACGCACACACACGCACGCAAGAACCGGAGCACATTCCGAACAATTCCCTTTTGTGTTATATATTTTAAGTCTCTTTATTTTCGATACATTTCACACATGATCGCTTCACGTTCTGCTTTTCTCACTCCTTTCATCCGATATATTTTTTGATAAACTGTTTATTTATCTGTATATTGGTTTATCATTCCTCATATCTTAATCCCCCTTTCCTTCACGCTCTCTCCCTCCCTCCCTCGCTCTCTCTCTCTCTCTCTCTCTCTCTCTCTCTCTCTCTCTCTCTCTCTCTCTCTCTCTCTCTCTCTCTCTCTCTCTCTCTCTCTCTCTCTCTCTCTCTCTCTTACTGTTTAATTTACTTACTCTTTGTTATCAGTAATTAGTACTGGTGTTTCATCTCATGTGTTATATCCTTTTACAATTATCTTTGTTTGCATTTTCTTTGCATTCCTTTGATAAATATTTATCTTGATTTTCTAATTCACGTGTTTCATCTCTTATCTCTCATTGCTCTTACTTTATTCCCCTCTTGCTGTTCCGCTCCGGCCGGCAGCTGTGAGGGCAGAACCACGCTTTTCAGCCATTACTTCCATGGCAGCATCCTTAATTATTTATTGCAAATTCGAGGGGGGGGGGGGGGGAGAAGCTTAAACCTGTGCAGCGCGCTCGGGACATTTCGTACTTTACAATTCGTCTATAAATATGACTTTTTACCATTATTAAACACCATTCACTCTATATATCTTGAACTATTTGTCAACATCTAAGTTCATTAATAAACACGTTTTCAAAAAAAGCCGCGTTTGAGTTATTTTCCTGTTTTGAAAACATTTGGGTTTAATAATTTGTTAATGTCTATTCACTGTTCAGTTTAATGTATGTTTAAAATTGCCTAATGGTTGAGTTGTATTTTTTAGGTAATTGTTTTTCATGTTCTCTCTGAAGCCTGCATCCTCTCTGAGATTAAATTTATTGCCTCGAAGCTCTGTTCAAAAGGATGTATTATGTATTATTTACAATAATTGCGTCAGTCTGTAGTTTCTCAGGGGCCTGACAGCTGAGTAGACAGCGCTTCGGATTCGTAGTCCTGAAATTCTGGGTTCGATCCCCGGTGGAGACGGAAACAAATGGACAGAGTTTTTTCCATCCTGATGTCCCTGTTACCTAGCAGTAAATAGGTACCTGGGAGTTAGACAGCTGCTACGGGCTGCTTCCTGGGGATGTGTAACAAAAAGGAGGCCTGGTCGCGGACCGGGCCGCGGGGACGCTAAGCCCCGAAATCATCTCAAGATAACCATGTTACTGGTTACTGGTAATCATGATGTTACTGCCACAATGTTATCATAATGTTACTGCCACAGTGTTATCATGATGGTTATCTAAACAATGTTTTAATGTTACTTTCTCCTTGTTGAATTGAAGAGGAGAAAGGACCCGGACTATTTCCTGCCAAGTCCAGCGATAACATCAAGTGAGAGAGGGCAGTTTCTTCCCTAAAAGACAGTGATAACACACATCAGGGAATTTTCCCCTAATGTTAGCAATGACCGTCGCTTCAAGACATTTTTCCCCTTGCAAGGAAAAGAAAAGTATTTGCCTGCGTGTCTGGTACTGTTTTGATACATTTTTTTTAAGCGTCAAATACTATTATGTGCCGTTAGGATTATTATTTTTCCTGTGAGCTGTGACGAGGATTCGAACCTGCGTCCGAGAGCATCCTAGACGCTGCCTCAATCGACTGAGCTTACGACACGGCCAAGTTCAAGTATGTTTATTGAGACAAGAGAAAATACATCTCAAAGGGATAGAGTAGCTTAGGCTATTTCTAACCCCGCTTAGGTCAAATGATCAAAAGGAGTTGAAACCGAAGTTCTACTGAACTTACTGGATCGTGCAGCCTCTCCGAGGCACAAACCAGGGTTGTACGTTCTTGTGAGTTGACCAATTCCCTGTGGATTGATCATTTTTTTCTGTGAACCGGGAATTTTCCGGGAATTTTTCCTGTGAATTGAGCATTTTCCTGTCAACTAGGCATTTTGTCTGTGATGCTGATATTTTCCCCACGAGCTGGGCACAGTAATCACATGGTTGCCAACACGTACGGTGAACACACGACCATAACAAGAAAGTTTGCTGCTAAAATAGTTGAAACTCACTGACCGCTGGCTTACGGAACACAGTAGATTCTGCGCCTCAATCTTCACACTGAGCCAAAATGATCTTTGGCTGGCAACTTACTATTCTCCCAGTCACACACCGCTGAAAATGGTAGCGTTTATTTAATGTATTTTTTTTGTGTGATTATCATTTAATCCCTCAATTTATTTAGGCTTGATCCACCAATAGGAACCGAGTTCTTGTGATATCCACCAATAGGAACCGATTGGTGGATATCAATCCACAAAGTATGTTTAAGTGTATATAATGTATATCATTCTTGTGATATCCACTAATAGGAACCGAGTTCTTGTGATATCCACCAATAAGAACCGAGATCTTGTGATATCCACCAATAGGAACCGAGTTCTTGTGATATCCACCAATAGGAACCGAGTTCTTGTGATATCCACCAATAGGAACCGATTGGTGGATATCAATCTACAAAGTATGTTTAAGTGTATATAATGTATATCATTCACAATGTATATCATTCTTGTGATATCCACTAATAGGAACCGAGTTCTTGTGATATCTACCAATAGGAACCGAGATCTTGTGATATCCAATAGGAACCGAGTTCTTGTAATATCCACCAATAGGAGCCGAGTTCTTGTGATATCCACCAATAAGAACCGAGATCTTGTGATATCCACCAATAGGAACCGAGTTCTTGTGATATCCACCAATAAGAACCGAGATCTTGTGATATCCACCAATAAGAACCGAGATCTTGTGATATCCACCAATAGGAACCGAGTTCTTGTGATATCCACCAATAGGAACCGAGTTCTTGTGATATCCACCAATAGGAACCGAGTTCTTGTGATATCCACCAATAGGAACCGATTGGTGGATATCAATCCACAAAGTATGTTTAAGTGTATATAATGTATATCATTCACAATGTATATCATTCTTGTGATATCCACTAATAGGAACCGAGTTCTTGTGATATCCACCAATAGGAACCGAGATCTTGTGATATCCACCAATAGGAACCGAGTTCTTGTGATATCCACCAATAGGAACCGAGTTCTTGTGATATCCACCAATAGGAACCGAGTTCTTGTGATATCCACCAATAGGAACCGAGATCTTGTGATATCCACCAATAGGAACCGAGTTCTTGTGATATCCACCAATAGGAACCGAGTTCTTGTGATATCCACCAATAGGAACCGAGTTCTTGAGATATCCACCAATACAGACGGGAATTATTTTCTATGCAATACTAAAACTGTATTTTAAATAATTTTTACTTGGCTGAGGTGATTGCATCGTCTGATGGGATTGTAAACAGTTATCTCACCAATCACCACCATCTTTACCTCACCAGAACTGCTAGTGAGAGGGCTATTATATTATACTTCGTTTGTACTATACTGTATATTATTATATAGTTATATTATACTCTATATTATTATATACAGACCTTCATTTGTTTTATAGCTGCACCAATAACGTTTCCTTTACTCTTAACAACCTCAACCAGTTAGAAAGCCTCGTTTAAGTGCCTCTACTTTTTCTCCCCCTCCTTCAGCTTACCTAACTAGACCGACAAATAAAAGAATAGCGTTGCTTCTGTTTAGTCAATCACATCATTTATACATTTCCTCCAGTGACAGCACAAATCGCCTAACGGAATCCACCAATGAGAGCACTCCACACGTATAAGTACACGGATCCTCACGGCCTTCCTTCCCCAATATCAAAAGCGACTCTAAAAGTGTATTAAATTGTATATATCGATTAAGCAGCGATGGCCGGGAATGAACGCGCCATTTTCCCCGATAAAAAGGGTGAAATACCGAGGAACTTGTTATTATAATATGCAAATTAAAGCGAGAAAAGTTATTGTAAAGTATTGCCTAAAGTAATTCTCAACCCTCCCACTCCCGATATTCGGAAACTGTCGACCAGGTCAGCGTTTTGGGAGAATTTATATTATCTTTGGGTTTCATATTTGGTTAATTCTAAAGCCAAAAATGTCAGAAAAATTGTGTCCTTTGAGAATTTGGAGTTTTGATATCTATTTAAAATTTGAAGTAAGGTGAGAATGGTTTTAAACATTTGTGTGGAAATGATAATTCAAGATTAAACTTCATTGTCAGTTCAATGTATCTTATTAACCGTTAAAAGACTGTGTCAAGAACTTGTTTATGTTCTAATGATAAATTGGTGTTATTTAACAATTTTTGTTTGTAAAAATACGCGAGATGGAGAAATTACATAATTTAAAAAATTTAATTCTCTCTCTCTCTCTCTCTCTCTCTCTCTCTCTCTCTCTCTCTCTCTCTCTCTCTCTCTCTCTCTCTCTCTCTCTCTCTCTCTCTCTCTCTCTCTCTCTCTCTCTCTCTCTCTCTCTCTCTCTCTCTCTCTCTTGCCAGAATTATGTCTCGACTTGGAAAATTAAGAAATTAATGTTGCTAGGCATTTAATATTTTCCCGGGTGAAATATGAAGTGAATTGGACCCTCCTGGATCTTCCTGGATAGGTCAAGGGTCGTCATGAGGCATCCTAGGTCATCCCGGGGGCATACTATGTCATCCCGGGGCATACTAGGTCATCCCGGGGACATACTATGTCATCCCGGGGCATACTAGGTCATCCCGGGGGCATACTAGGTCATCCCGGGGGCATACTAGTGACATGTTGTGGGGGGCATACTTGCTCGTCTATGAGAGGTTACCTTTAAGCATTCTTGTGACATCTTGATTCATTCTCAGAGTATCCTGAGACGTTCTTGATGTATCTTAGAGAGACCGTGGATCTTGGGGATGTTGCATGCTAAGGGCATCCCTAAAGTGTCCTGAAGGCATCCTAGGAGCGTCTTAGGACTTCCTAGCGGCGTCCTAGGAGCATCCTGAGAGTGTTGGCTGTGATCCAGCTGAAGGGATGAGTCTTAAGTCTCGTTGGAGGTTATCTTGAGGTTATCTTGAGATGATTTCGGGGCTTTTTAGTGTCCCCGCGGCCCGGTCCTCGTCCAGGCCTCCACCCCCAGGAAGCAGCCCGTGACAGCTGACTAACACCCAGGTACCTATTTACTGCTAGGTAACAGGGGCATAGGGTGAAAGAAACTCTGCCCATTGTTTCTCGCCGGCGCCTGGGATCGAACCCAGGACCACAGGATCACAAGTCCAGCGTGCTGTCCGCTCGGCGGCCGACCGGCTCCCAATAGTCTTTGTAGTAATTAAATCGGACTAAAACGGGCGAGGGCTATAATTTCCTTTGATCAGTTCAGGTAAAGGTCACGAGGTCAAATCAGGTGTTCAGGTCAGGTCATGTAGCCCAACCGGCTCCGACGGCAAGTGTGGGTAGGGGGTAGTAGAAATAGCCTAAGCTACTCTATCCCTTTGAGATGTATTTATTGCTTATCTCAATAAACATACTTGAACTTGAACGACAGGTGTGGTCACCCTAAACCAGTCCTTGTGATCAATATTATCTTATTACAAATATGTATTAGGTTCAATATAATTTGTTGTCATCGAAAAAGTCCCATTTAATGAGCCCATTGGGCCTGGCCTGGACCAGCATTCATGAAGCATTTACGCAACTACTTACGAAACATATACATCTTTCCTCCATTAATAAATGCCAACAAAGCTGCAATGAATGCGGGAAGGATATACGGGTTTCGTAAATAGTTAGGTATATGTTTGATTAATGTTGGTCCTGAGAGGGGAGGGAGAAGGGTATTTGGCGCAGTCAACTCATGCTCATCAGGTCCGCTTTAAATTTGTTTTTTTTTTAGTGCTGAGTAGATATATCTAATTTATAAGGTGAGATTGACTCGTTCAGAGGAGTCAGGTGAGATTAACCGATTCAGAGTAACTAAGTAAGGTCAACTCGTTTAAAGTAATCAGGTGAGGTTAACTGGTTTAGAGAAGTGAACAAATCCACAAGGGCCGTGACGCGGATTCGAACCTGCGTCCTGGAGCATCCCAGACACTGCCTTAATCGACTGAGCTACTTAATTTAATCAAAGTGAGCTTAATCGAAGTGAGGTACCTCGTTAATATCTCACCCTAACTCCCTGTACTGTGGCAGATAACCAAATTTATCCCGGTTACTTTGTTTGGTTAGTGGTGTTATAAAGGGATTATTGGTCGTGTGGCGTTTCCCATGCAGCGGGGAGACGACATGTTTGGAGGGACGACTTTTAAGGGGAGAATACATGTTTGTGGAGGCATGAATAGGGGGAAGGAACGACATGTTTGGAGAGACGACTTTTAAGGGGAGAAGACATGTTTGTGGAGGCATGATTAGGGGGAACGACGACATGTTTGGAGGGACGACTTTTAAGGGGAGAATACATGTTTGTGGAGGCATGAATAGGGGGAAGGAACGACATGTTTGGAGAAACATGTATGAGAAGTCGACACAATAATAATTTATATAAAGAAGTAATATTATCAATAACTAAAATTATTGTTAGTATTGTTATAATAATAATAATAATAATAATAATAATAATAATAATAATAATTATTATTATTATTATTATAAGCATAAGAAAAAGGTAGAAGAAAATAAATTATAAGATGATATATTAAAAATATTAAAAATAATAATAATATTAAAATACTGAAGATAATAATAAAAAAATAAATTAATATTATAACAAAGTTAAATTGCCTAGAAGAAGAATTTTCATTAAAATATTTATTTATTATTTACATTTTTACTAATACTAATTCTTTTGTTTGAATTAACATATTTTGAATTACTTATATGTTAATTTGTATTCATTATTTTTGATTTATTAATTGTGAGCTTTTCGAAGGCTTGTCAGACCTAGGCGCCTGACAGCTGGGTGGACAGCGCTTCGGGTTCGTAGTCCTGAAGTTCCGGGTTCGATCCCCGGTGGAGGCGGAGACAAATGGGCAAAACTGTTTCTCTCATCCTGATGCTCCTGTTACCTAGCAATAAATAGCTACCTGGGAGTTAGACAGCTGCTGCGGGCTGCTTCCTGGGGGATGGAGCCCTGGTCAAGGACCGGGCCGCGGGGGACACTAAGCCCCGAAATCATCTCAAGTTAACGTCAAGAACCCAATGTCTATCACCCAAGATAGATATTTAAGCCCCGAAATCATCTCAAGTTAACGTCAAGAACCCAATGTCTATCACCCAAGATAGATATTTAAGCCCCGAAATCATCTCAAGTTAACGTCAAGAACCCAATGTCTATCACCCAAGATAGATATTTAAGCCCCGAAATCATCTCAAGTTAACGTCAAGAACCCAATGTCTATCACCCAAGATAGATATTTAAGCCCCGAAATCATCTCAAGTTAACGTCAAGAACCCAATGTCTATCACCCAAGATAGATATTTAAGCCCCGAAATCATTTCAAGTTAACGTCAAGAACCCAATGTCTATCACCCAAGATAGATATTTAAGCCCCGAAATCATCTCAAGTTAACGTCAAGAACCCAATGTCTATCACCCAAGATAGATATTTAAGCCCCGAAATCATCTCAAGTTAACGTCAAGAACCCAATGTCTATCACCCAAGATAGATATTGGAGGTCAAACATCGTATCACCGACCCGAGTGAGAGGCCAATTTCTCACCTTGTATCATCACTAAATCCTGGCTCAAAAGAGGCCACTTCCTGAGCTGGGAATAAGGTCAAATTTGCGCTGAAAGTGATGGCCCCATTACGAGGAGGGAGCTGAGATCCGAGGACCTGATTAGCATACACCCTGGGAGGCCTCGAACCCTTCACTACGACTTAACTGCTTTAAACAGAATTCCTTATTATGACCGGGATATCTGAGATCACAGTGTCGGGGTGAGATTAGTAGTGAGGGAGATAGTTTTACTGTGATCACAGTGTTGTGGTGAGATTAGACTTTACTGTGAAACACTAGAATTGGCGGGACTTTGCTAAACTCAGATCAGAATTCACGTGAATTATACATATAAGTGGAGTGAGACCGGACGTTAAGCCTTTAGAACCTAGATCTACGTGAAGCCAGCCTGGATCTACGTGAAGCCATCCTGGATCTACGTGAAGCCAGCCTAAAAATAAAGTTAAGAGAGACGAGAATAGTGACGTAATGTGGGTTTGATAACAGACTTGGGAAGAGTGAGAATGAGTAACGTCAGGTAGATATATATATATATATATATATATATATATATATATATATATATATATATATATATATATATATAT